CTATAAAAGGCTGTAAGAAATTGTGTAGAAATTCGTGTGCGTTGTAAATCCTTAAGTTTGCACGGATTCATCCTTAATATTTACAAAACGCACATTATATTTTCCTTTACTGCATATTTTTTTTCATCAATTAAAATGAGAATAATCCATACAGAGTGTGCAAACATTTCAAAGTCATGGGTTGAAAAACGCTGACTCCACGAGATTAAATATTATTACGCATTGCGCAATGCGTGAAGTATCCCTGTTAGATTTGTAGGCGCCAATGCACAATTCGCGCTGGCTGCCCGCCCGCCGCGCCGCAGCGTACCACGGCGCTTGAAGCAACTATTTCACACCAAAGGTACACACACGAAGTACTTACGAAACTGAAGGCGCTCCAACATATTAGGAATGGCACGCATCCTTCAAAAGTACGGAGCTTTCCTCGAAAAATAAATCAAGATACTACGGCCAAAAAAGAGAGCGGTAGTCCAAAAACTCATTAAGTCCTAGCATCCGTAATTAGAAACGTTTAGCATACACTTTATCGCCAGGCTGTTGCTTAATCGCTATCGGCTATAACGTGCTGTAAGAAATTGTGTTGCCGGCTATAGAAGCTACTGGAAATCTTACAGCCGGCTGTAGGTCTATGGTATTTTGGAACACAGATTCTACTGCCAATTTTTACCAGGGTATTCATACGAATGTTCGAATATTCAGACGACTTTGTCCTCAGTCAGGCAGTGCAGTGTGCGTGATTCAAGACCCACGACCAACTGAGCCTCAAACCCCGACCATGAAACCTCAGACTTCTTTTTTCCCCGGACGGAAAAGCTATTTATATCCGGTCGCCATTCAGGCGCGAGGCGTGAAATCGATTGTCGATATTTCCCCATTTGAAGCTACGGTACAGAATCGATTATTTAAGTGTTCGTTGCGAACACCCTGTTCATCGATCCTTTTCCAAAGGTTTAACTGAAAGATTAATCGATGTGTCGCTAAGTACACCGCGCCACTGTCTGTTCCATTGTATTTAACGCTCTCTGAAAACACGGAAATATGGAGGTCCCACTTATCCCTTTGCTTGCCTTACTTCGGGGTATCAGGGATGTATTTTTTTTTTTTTTTTTTTTTTTTTTTTTTTTTTTTTTTTTTTTTTTTTTTTTTTTAAATGAAGAAGTGCTTGTAGTAATTATAAAATCACGGTCGCTTAAATGAAAAGATCATACTCCTCCTGGTAAGAACTCCAATTAATGTAAATTGACAAAAATCAACGAGGAGGAACATTTTCTTGATATTTTTCAATATCTTACCTCGTATCTATGCGAGAACTTTAGGCCGGCTTCCTTTAAATACTTCACAATTGATTCGGTTTTTTGAGCGTTCACCACGTTAGCAGTGTACGCTCTTTCCCGTTGTTTTGCATCGGGTATGACAATTTTGTCCGCAAAATCATCTAAAAATTTCACGGAAAAATATGCTCAACTTTCCCCAAAAATACGTGTTAAATCCGGGGAAATTTGGCAACTCTCGAATGTTCATACGGCGTTCTCCCTTAGCATCGCTGATTTGGCGACGCCCAAAGGCTCATACGGTGTTCTTTCTAAACACGGCGTTAATCCTGTCTAGTGGTTCATCATTACTATAGGAAGTACGTCTTCTTAGCCAAAGAGCACGAGTTGGACGCAGCGTGTAAATTTTTTGGCACGCGCGTGGAGATTAACGATTAACGAAACGGTCATCGACGACAATCAATTAGCAGATCGTCGGAGAGAGTGCGCGCGGCGAGATGAAGAGAAAACGACTATGGCTTAAGAAAAACAAATGGGGGGCCGGCAATGAACGAAAATCACCGCGATAATGGGTCCGTCGAGAAAGAGAATCGGCAGCAAATGAGTCGGGGGATATTTCTCCTATAACATTTGTTTGGACAAGATTATTTTAGACTGTGTCGAAAGATTACGGATCCACATGACAAGGGTGAGGTGATGAATATTTCAGTTAAAGAGATTTTCGGAGGAACGCTCATTAGACGAGAAGAACGGGCGAGGTGAAGCGCGGCACAGTGGATCGCGAGACAGAGAGAATGGATTTGCTCATCCTCACCGGAATACTGCTGTTCTAAGGAAAAACGCCGTATGAGCCCTCAGACGTTGCCAAGTTTCTTCCGATAAAGCCTGAAATTACTGGAAAAATTGTGAATATTATTTTCCAAAATTTTCAGACAATTTTGCACGCAATTTGATCTCAAATATTTGAAAGTTTAAGGAAAAATATCTATAAATCTTGTCAAAATTACATGTTTAATCGAGGGTAATTTGGCAACCCTCGAATGTTCATACTGCGTTTTTCCCTAGCACGGAAGAATACTGCCGTGCTAAGGCAAAACGCCGTATGACCCTTCAGACGTTGTCGAATCTTCTACGATAAATAACCATTTTGGAGGAAAGTTATGTGTATTTTTCCTTGAGACTCTGAGATATTTTAGATCAAATTGCGAGAAAAATGATTTGATTTAAAAAGAACATTTTCTGAATTTTCCTAAAAAGTTCGTTATTTATCAAAATAAATGTGGCAACGTCTGGAGGCTCATAATGCGTTCTTCCTTAGCACGGCAGAATAAAAGAAGCATTTCTGATTTTTTACTTTCTAGCTTCCCGTGCGGGTAGAGGAAGTATTGTCATCCTTAAAATCATAGCTTGGATCAGTCATAAAAGTTTGCTGCATATTATTGACTCTTATTGATCTTTAGGTGTTATTCAACATGTTTTGAGGCAGCCAGAAAGTCTAGTTCAGGAATAAAGAGTGCAGACGAGACGCGGAGAAATTTAGTAGACTTTTTGTCAATTTTATTTTTGTTTTCAAAATGAGAACGGATGATGACAAAGAATTAAAGAAAATAATTGTAACCGGTGTAAGTCAATATTTATGCAATGCTCCAAATTATAAATTAAGAGGCGAAGAACATTTGAAAACTTTTTGATAGTCGATCGATCAAAATATTCAGTGAAACAGCTTGCTTAAAGCACGGCCATTCACGTGATATTTGCACTTTTTATGTGGCTAAATATAAGGACAGTCGGAAGGCGCTTGATGAGCAACTATTCGAACCCTGGGTGTATTTGTAGTATAACCGATCGAGTGAAGGCGCACCGACATCGAATGCAGCAGTACGAGAAATGACACAATCGGAAGGTGCACAACGAGCAACTATTCGAACCTCTGGGTGGGTTTATTGCATGGCCGATTAAATGTAGGCGCACTGCTGTCGAACACAGAAGAAATCAATAAGTTGACCTTTGATTTTTGCGCCGTTTTCTCAAGGAGCGGGATTTTTAATACGCCTTCGCGGACCTATCGCACCATTGAGTTAATTTTAAAATATGTATTTGTGCTCATCGCGTTCCGCATGGAAATTTAGGCGTGAAAACATTTTACTAGGTTTTAAACTAAATCTGACATCCTAATTACAATTTTTCGATTCGCTCTACTTCAAATTTTATTTTCGACGATGAAAATACCTCCATCCTCTGCTTACTCTTCTTCTGCGAGGTTTTTTAGATTTAACCAACAGGATTTATGGGGACGATTCTTCAGTTTAAAGTATGATTTTTTTCTAACGTACGATCCCAAAGTTTAACTTATCTTTGAAGCGTTTAAGTATACATCTCAAAGGGGCGCTATCTTTACTTTAACAAAAATATCCGTTTTTTTTAAAAAAAAAAAAAAAATATATATTTTACTTGTCTACTACACATTTTATTGGTCGATTGAAACCAAGTTGGCCTTAAAATTTAAAAAAAAATAATATTAATAAATAAATAAAACTAATAATTTTTTAATGCTCTCAAAAACACCAGGCTTCAATGTTGAACTCTACTTTACACCATTATTAATGTTGAGAGCGTTTATGCAGAATTTTTTCGAGGAGAGCCCTGTGGCACCAATACAAACGAATTTTAACAGCGTTTTTTTTTTATTTTTTTTTGGTTAAACTCGAACTGACATTTTCCGTCTGCAAACTTTGAATTGGCGTACAGGGTAAATTTTGGGGTATAATCTGCGCTTGATGATCATAAACATCTTCTCTAAGTTCTACTTTAGTTACATACTTTCTCCACTGAAAGGCACATTTAGACCGAGTTTATTAGAAAGGAATCGACTCAAATTTTCGAAAATATTGAGGTAAGAATGTTTTCGAGTTCCGCTGGCCGTATATTTTCTCCTGCTAAAAACTGAAAGTCAAATAACAGAAATTAGTTTGTGAAAAGGGAGGTTAAAAGCTTATTTTCTACATTGAGCCTTGAAGCAAGTATAAGACTTCAAACCTCTCTTTCTCAGTGTATCCTGTTTTAAATACTTGTCTAAACTACCAAATTTTATTTTATTTAGTCCAAAACCTTAGTAAAATTGTTTACTTTTGCATAATTAGAAGCTATGCTTTAAAAAGTTTCTAATATTTAAAATTATTAAATTCTTATTTATTTCTATACTGAAAAGATAGTGTTTTCTATTAGACTAAATAATTATTTGTCATTAGCAATTGTTTTAAAATTTTTCTAATCATCTTAATAGCTTCAGTATTATGCTTTATAAATTTAAGCTATTAAAACAAATAAAAATAATTATTAAAATAAATATAATTAGAATTATGGTTTTTAGATTGATGGTTATGGTTTTTGACCCGACAAACTTGGTCCATTTTGCATGATTTCCTTACTCTTTCTGATTACGGCCGCTTCTGGCCACTGTGCGGGGGGATGCTGGAAGCAACGAAGGAGCTGAGAACATGAGTCCCAAACGAGGGAAGAGAAAAAGAGAGAGAGAGAGTCCTTCGCCGCGCGCCCGAGAGAGAGGGGGAACATTGAAATGTTATTAGAAAAGGCAAAGGCAATTGGTCTCGGGGCACGGGCGGAGAGCGGAAGGGAAAGGGAGTGTCGGAGAGGCTGAATAAGTTGTAAAGTGTCAGCATAGGCGGCGCTCACATCGCATTTCCAAGCATATTTTCATATTGCCGTTCAGTTACGGCCTGTTCCCCAACCTCGGCGCTACGGTGCGTGTCCAACGCGACCCTGTCTTGTTTACCTGCTACTGCCTCCGCACTTGTGCCCCTCTCAGAAGTGCTTTTTCCACTAATTACTTTACTTTTCCGACTTCAAACCCGGTGAATTGGATTACAGTGCTGTGTTTCGTACTCTGTCAGTACTATTTTAAAGTGTTTCGGATCCCTTCTCCAATCTTCTAAACGTGTTTCTGGATCTACACATTGTGTTTCACGTCTTCGACGTACTCTTTCAGTACTATCGCTTAGAATCCTTTGCTGGTGTCTTCGTTTCTTAAACGCGTTTTCACGTGTGTGACGTACTCTGTCAGTACTATTCTTGAGTGAATTAACAGCCCATTTTTCATCTTTTCAACGTGTTTCTGGTTCCAGATCCTCAAACCTAACCGTGTATCGCCAACGTTAAATTCGTTAATTAGTTACACACCGGTGTAGAATGCTGGATGCTTTATTGGTTAACCTCAATTTCCCCGGTCAGTCGAAGTAAAAATAGTTGCTGGGTCGGGACAACCCTCATCCCTTCGAGTGATTAGTTAAACGTTTCTGTCGAGCCTCGTGCTATTCGTTTTCTGGATGGAAACATGAATTTTGTCCTGTTCAGTGCGCGCGGTTTATCGATAGTGGTCCACGAAATTATGAAATTGGTATAAAATGCCCGAGAAGCAAGTGTTTCACCCTTATCATCACCCCAACCCCGGATTAGCGTTCTCGTCTGCTTTCGCGGCGTTTCCCGCCCCCATCCCCGTGGATCAAAGAGCGCATGAAGGAAGGTACCTCTGGGATCCCTCAGGGAGAGTTGGTCACCCAGGAGCGCCTCACGGAGCTTTTCACCACCCCGCTGCCCACGGGTAAGTTGTGTTTGGGATTTTCTTGAAGGAGGAGTTTTGGAAATATGTATTTAGAATGAGACGTATGCGCTTATCACACCTGCTAGAAGCGAGAAACTTAAGTCCTTTATTTCAACTATTGCAGTCGGTGTGCGGAGAGGTAAAGAAAATGCCTAGGTTAAGGATTTTTTTTAATATACCTCGATCAAAATTTAACAAATTGAAAAGTAGGTAGTTCGGCGACGTCTAATCTAAGATATGTGTTTTTGGACTCCCCCCCCCCCCATAAATAAGTATTGTGATCATTAATCATACTGATTGACATTTATTATTTTTCCGCTCATTGACCACGGACCAGCAGATTCAGCACTTCAAACAACTTCGGTTAATTTCCCGGAATTTTTCCTGAGATATAATTTTTAGTCAAGTAGGTACCAAGATGACTTGGCACGTAGGTTTGGCCCCTCTTAAAAAATGTAATACTCAGAGCTGGAGGAAAAAGGATTGTACAAATGTTTCATCAACCACCTCCGGAAATCGCACCATGCGACAGAAATGTATGTGCCAAACAATTGGCCAACTGCTGATGCATTTAGGATGATGTGACTTCAGTCCAATCTTCTCTTGCGCCCGCTTTAAGTTGAGCTCTTATTGAGCTGCTAGGACTGAAAGGGAGAAAATCGGGCAAAAAAAACCTAACTATAGAATTTTTTTCCCCCCTTTTTCTAGGGAGTATTAAAAGTACCATACATTTAACCTAAAATGTACTCCGAAGCTGTTAAGTTATACCGAAAAACTTTTCTACGAAACCCATGAACTAGCTTTAAAAGCCATCAAGCAAAGTACCACGAACACACCTGCTCAAAAAATGAGACATAAAACCCCAGTACCTCATTACCAATTTCGCAAAATCGTGTAGGCGAGCCGATTTTTTCCCACGCTCTTTTTCGAGCTAGATGGATTCTCGGAAAATCGAGCGACGCATGGGACCATAGTTCCTGTTATATACGCTGGTGTACAGTTCTTGTTAGTACTTAGTACCTAGTCGCTATATTAATTTACAAAAAATTGATGTGTCGATCTGACTGAATGGCTATCTAGAACATAGGCTGCTGAACTCCTGGGCACTTTTTGCCACTTTTTCAGATTTTCCGTACCAAATTCTTACCCTAAGTTAAAGCCCACACTACTTAAGTTCTATTTGAGGAGAGCTTGGTTTTTCCTCGGAGGGTAATCCAAGTAATAGCCAAAAATAAGGGCAGCAAGTAATAGCAATGAACTGTTAAGCGGCAAGAAAATCTTCGGATTTAAGAAAAAGTAACTGACGAATTTTTCCAAAAACATTCTAGAAGTAAATGGTGATTTTAGATTCTTTCGAGGTACCAGTCTTAAGAATCAACACAATTTGAAATAGAATTTCGCTTATTGTCTCCTTTCGTGCGGATTTTTTTCTTCTATAAGTAATTTTTTATCTACTTACCTATCTAGGTATGCTAGAATTTTTTTCACACTCTTCAAAAAACCCATTTTACAATCACCGAAAGAGAATGCAGAGACACCTGAGGTATTATGCGGTCGAACCTTAAATTTTTTTAAAACAAATTATATGACAAGTTTTCAATCCGGCATTCCATGTTCCCGAGTCGAAAGATCATAAAATGAAACATGGAAAAAGATATGCGCGCACCGTGTAAAAAATCGACTGAAATTCGTAGCTCGTTTAAAAATTAGCACACGAGAACTCACGCCGTTAAAAAGCGGAAAGTGTGTCGCGAAAATTCTCCAGGTTATCAAATGAATGTCAGCGATGAGTGTCAAACCGACTCCGGACGGCGTCAATTTAGTGATGCTAATAAAATAAACTCAACGAAAATTCCAGGAGGCCTCATCATTACACCGCTGACATGGCCAATCATCTGAGGGAAAACGTCCCATGAATAATCTAACGTTGCCAAGTGCGTTCTGCGTTCTGAAAATTAGAATTTATTTTAAAAAAATGTGGGGGAAATTTTCAAATAAGTATTTTGGACCGACTTTGCAGACATCAGAAGTCGCCTAATTTTTTCTAAGTTTTATGTGAGCAGAAAATGAAACATCGCTGAATTTTAAAAGTTGTCGGAACAGGTACTTTTCATAATGTAGCGTAAATTTCCAAAAAATTTGAAAGAATTAAGTTGTTTGGTTCTCTATTTACGTTATGATCGCTCCCCAACGTGAAACTCTTTAATGTCAGTCAAATCTCTCCCTTAATTTCTCGATTTAATCTCATGTTATGTCCTAGAGTAAAGAAGAGAAAAACTTGACAATTAAAGCTAAAGTTTTAAAAAAACGGCACAAAGGCAAGATTTTTCGAGCCGTCACAAGCTCATTTTTAGCCGCAAGAACGTTACTAAATTACTGAATAATTTACCTATAGCGTTTTTAAATTCCAACTTTGTTTCGCCGTGGTTTCTTATTTTATTCTGTTAGTTAAGGCGTTTGCTCAGTGCGTGTATTTTCGTTTTGATCCGTGCGGCTGAAAATTCTAAGGACGAATGACACAAATAAATTTTCTTTTAAGGAATATGCTCGTCCGTAGGGCGATGGGCCTTAGGAATAATTTTTTCTGAAACAAATTATCTCGATTCATCTCTGTAAATCGGATTTTTAGGTATCGTCGGAAATTATCTCTGAAATCCCTGAAGTTGAGAGCTATTTAAAGTATATTTTCGCCGATAGGGCCTCAAGGGTTGCACAAGTGGAATGAAAATCATGAAGTATGTATTGGAAATTTTCGTAATGTATTTTATAAAAACTTAACGTAATAATAGCCTAGAACTGAATAATTGTATTTTAAAGTTGCTCCAATGTTGGAGTCGAAAACCTCCTCTGAAAGTTCATCATGTATTTCCTATAAAATTTCAAGATTTTATAAAATTTTAACCCTGCAGGAGGTAAGTATGAATCTTACCTGAGCCAGTAATTTCATGCCATTAATATGCCACATCAGGAAATTTTACATATTTTGAACTGTAAACTTCGAACGCCATACCTTTGAATATGTCTGAAATTTTTAAGTTGTTTTTGTTTCTGAATTTCCCGTAAAATTTTAAGATTTTATATTTCACGAAGAATTGCAACCCTGCAGGAGGTATGAATTATGCCTGATCCGGTAATGTCATGCCATAAAAATGGAAGATTGGGAAATTTTTCCTTTATTCAACGGTAAACTTCAAACGCTATTACTCCGAATCCGCCTGAAATTTTTAAGTTTTTTCCCTCCTAAAATATTTTTGAAACGCCCACCTGTGCTCCGTATTAAACTCAGTTTAAATTTTTGCCGAGTTTTGTCCCTTTTCTTGTAAACGATCGTGAATGAATTATATACCAAGGGAGATTTGGCAACGTTCGGAGGGACTTACGTCGTTTTCCAGCACAAAGCGCTGACATGACTTTTAGCGCGCGAAACAAGCCCGGATTGCGGTGGGGACCTCGCACTTCAAAGGAAATTCGTTGACGGCTGCAATAAATAAGAGAGAAGGATTGATGATATATTTAATGGAGTCCATGAGATGATTTTGCGCGTTAAAAATAGCGGCAGCTGCTGAGACACGGCAGGAGCATTTTCACGCACGGATCCGAGGTTTTTTTTATGATATCTGGCAACCGGGCGCAAAAGTTATACGATTCGAGCTGCTGTCTGGGCACATAAACACGTGATACCAGCTTCCGGTCATAAAGCAATGGTTCTGAAAAAGGGCGGCTAAAATTAAAATAGTGCACTTGCTTGCATAGGGTACCGTCCTGGAGCCTGTGCTCTTTGACGGACGAAAAAAAAGAAAGAGAGGAGGAGGAGAAAAAAATAAGAAAAATAAAATAATATTGAAGGCTGCTTACGTATCTCTCGTTGCAAGTAAATCTGAAACTCATCGAAATATCGTGAATAAATTCAGTCGCTTAATTTTCTGTTTAAATTAAGTATAGCTATTTTTATTTTTAGGTTTGAGAATCGTTCTCTATAAGTGTCGAGAAAATACTAGTGAAGATTGTAGGCATCCCCTGCGTTGATTAAAATTAACTATAATTTGAACATTTTGAATAAATGTAACTAATTTTGCGTTTAAATTTCCGCCAAATTTTTCTAAGCTCGGTGATTTTTCTGTTACTGCCCACTCAATGACGAGCTCTTTTTCGAAAAGTTCCAACTGGGTCGCATTTAGCAAAAAGAAAAAGTCGTTAAAATGTTGCTTCTTCATAATTATTTAAAAAATCTCTCAGAAAAGCAAATGTATTTTGCTTCCCACTACAAAATTGTTAATTTTAAAGGAAAATAATCGCGTGAATTTCAATACTGTAAATATATTGGGTATTTTTAAAAGGAATGAAGAAGTTGCATGATTTTGAAATCACCGTAATCAGGTTCCTTTTTGCTAGATGCGATCCAGTTCTTACTCATTTTTAAAAAGTAACTCAAGCACCAACTCTTTCCCAATAACTTTATGAGTGAGCCTGAAATCGCTCTCAAAATGCAAACCGTGGTCCTGATCATGGACCCTTTTTCTGCTCGCACCGGGTGAAGGGGTTGCGAGGCTGCCCATCCCATCACCTGACACCTAACCCGTCAAAACTTTCTCTTTGCTCTCCGCTCAGGTGCCTCCGTGGGCTCACAAAAAAAAGAAAAAAGAAGAAAAAACGCACTTCCATCGGACCGGAGAAATCTGAAACCTCCGCCCCAGAAAACCGATATTTGTGTCGGTGAATTTACGAGCTATATGACTTGTCATGATTTATCACGTAGAGGAGGCGCACATTGAGCCGTGGATTGGCCCTACGAGGCAATTACCTCTTACTTAGTTCTTGGTTCCGTTCCGTTAGGAGCCTTCGGTTTTAGAAGTCGGTGCGGTGCTGGTCATTCGGTTTGAAATTGGACCTCGGGTAGCAGAGAGGGATCGAGCACTGCATGTAAGAAGCAAGGGCGCAACACAAGTTCCTAACCGACGGCGGATTTTTGCCTCGCTGCCAAACTCGCGATTTGCCTCTTT